CGGATAAGCCTAGCTTGAGCTGGAGACAGAAGCTTGAGTTATGTGGTAAAGAGCTTCACCATCAGGCTCCGCAAGAGCCCATTATACAATGCGTGTGAAGCCTGCTTCAGGTAAACGTTTAGGACCTACTCTTCTTCTATAAAACCTGTTGTAGGAGCTTTACTCTTTAGTCTTTAGACTACCTAATCATCTCTCTACAGGCCATTGAAGACTGATAGAGTACTAAAACCATAAAAGGCAAACTCAATCTGAATCAAAAGACAACTTCATATCATCAAAGTGATCTGTGAAGTAAACAAAGTAAGAATTTTCAGAGTAAATTTGATATAGCAAATATAGTATTGTTTGTAGAGGAGAGAAGATACCAGGTTTCTTTTTTATACCCATTGTATACAGATTAGTTTTATATTTTCTATGTATTTAATTGGCTATGAGCTCTTTGGTGTTTTGGCTATGAGCCATTATACACTGCGTGTGAAGCCGTAAACGTTGGTCCCTTCTTCTATAGAACCTATTGAATGAGCTTTACTCTTTAGTCTTTACACTACCTAATCATCTCTCTATGCTTCTAAAAAGTTATTCAAAATTCGCATTCGAAAACATATCAATAGAAGATAGCACATTACAAATATAACAGATAAATAAATTGTTGAGTTTCAATATAAATAACTCATGTATCTTTTAAGTACCGTCTTTGACAATTATGACAGTAACAATGGATGAATTGAAATACTTGAAATAAAATTTGTCTATTAGTGTTAATTATAATATAAACAATTATATTTTAAAATAATAATAAACATTATGTCATATAATTAACAAATACTCCGCGCGATAAAATATAATACATAAATTTACAACATACACAGTTTTATTTACATCTTTAAACCTATTACCTAATTAAAATGATTCTAAAATAAGTGACAGCATGAAAATCGAAAAATCTAAATAAAAAATATACGATAAAATATAATATATAAAATTTTAAAATTACATTATCACTGATCACTAAAAGATCATGTTCGTAACAATAAAAAAGAAATGACAAACACATTTATTAGAAACCATAGACGGTACACAACAAAGTATTATTAAATATACAAACTACAAATTAAATATGCTCAACGCAAACACATATAAATTGAGACATTATATTTGGATATATTTAAATAATTTTTTTTAAAATATATTATATTCTTGATAATTATAAAATTACTGAAAAGAAGCTAAAATTATTAACAAAATAATATACAAATAAAAATAAAACAATATTTTATAATGTCAAAATAATTAATGAACAAAACTCATGTTGTAAATATGTTGTAAATAAATTTTTGATTTTAATGACTTCTAATTCATATAATATTATAAAATTCAAAATTGTATTATAATTAATATTTTACCATCTTACTATATTAAAATATTATTCTAGATCGATTTTCAAGTGTCAGTTTCCAACTATTACACGAAAAAAATATTATTAAAAATATTGTTTTTGAAAAGGGGATTTTATATTTTAAGTAGGTTATTGGAGTACTTTTTCTTTTCGTGAATTTATTCGAGATGAGATTCCTATCTTTTAAGCTAAGATAATTTATGTTTATACATAATTATATTTTTTACGTAACTCTATTACCTCAAACTCAATTCTTCATATTTTATTAGTTAATTGCGTTACATATAATAGAACCATATTTGAAAATAGTATAAATTTCATGGTATATTGATGATAATTATTAACTAAATTATCCATTAATACCAATGAATTATTTTCAAATATTTACTTCAAACTGAAAATATAAAAAATATTCAAATTTAAAAATTAGTTAAATATAATTTAAAATACAAAAATTCAAATACAAAGAAAATTGATAAATATAAAAAATTTAAATATATTTTCCGCGCGTAGCATGGAGAAAGGATCTAGTATATATAATAGCCTTATTTGTGTGCACGTAATTGATTGTAACCATTCCATATATGAGAACAAAATTTCCTACATAAAGCCTTGTTTGGAGTGGGAGTATAAGAAAATTAGCAATTTAATTTTACGTTTTGCGTCATTATTTCAGTTATACATGCTTGTTACATTTTATATATTACATTTGGTATAATTTGAGTTGTGATTTTGATCTTACAAAATTTAAGTTTATAAATAAGTCAAGTTTTAATTTTACGTTTTGCGTCATTATTTACATTTTATATATTACGTTTGGTATTATTTGAGTTGTGAATTTGTTACCAAATTTAAGTTTATATATAAGTCAAGTCAAATTTAACATTAAAAGACAACCAGATTGGATATTATTTCATATTTTCAAAGCATTAATACAATAACTTTTGAAAAAAAAAATCAAATATCACTGTTTCCAAATAAAATTTGACACTAATTTCCATATAAGTATACTTTGGATTATATGAATAATACAAAACATTCCATAATATTTAAAGACAAACAAAAGAACTTATATAATTTAACAATGGTTATATAGAACAAATATTCAACTACAAACAGAAAGTTATATAATCTTGTTAATAAAATCGAATATTTAAGGTTTATATGTATGCTCTGTTTTTCTCTATATAACATATTACTAGATAATAACCCGCGCGCATGCGCGGAGTGAAATTCTTATACTAATATTTATTTATTAAATGGTTTTTAACATTTTGCAATACTACAGTATTTATCGATTATAAAATGATGAATACAAATGTTGGTATCTTAAATCATCATAGGTCTGGACGTTTGAGACTTCGTCGATTTTCGTTTGATTGAGACATATTTTCAGATTTTGGTATTATTCTCATAAATCCTATTTGAATTTTACTAATTATCGGATTGGATTCGATTTGATCTTTTCAATTCAGTTTGGATTGGATTGTAACCAATATCTGAAATTATCCCAAAAAATATTTTTTAAACATGAAAAGTTGACAAAAAATTCAAAATATTTAAACTATTAATNTGATTGAGACATATTTTCAGATTTTGGTATTATTCTCATAAATCCTATTTGAATTTTACTAATTATCGGATTGGATTCGATTTGATCTTTTCAATTCAGTTTGGATTGGATTGTAACCAATATCTGAAATTATCCCAAAAAATATTTTTTAAACATGAAAAGTTGACAAAAAATTCAAAATATTTAAACTATTAATAAAATCTAATTTAAAATTAGTTAAACTATCTAAACAACTAAAAGATATTAAAAAAAAACAAATAAAATAAACTACAAAAATCTTTTGAATACTATAAGTTGTATCTACTAACCTCAAACCTTTTCACTGAAATTTTTAAATTAACATATTTATAATATGAACATCTACTAATGATACTTCATATTCGTACGATTTATGATAATTTGTATCTTGTTTGGAAAAAAAATAAAGTTAAACCATTGATCATAAAATTTTCAATGAGGGATTTTACTATTTTTAGTTATTTGTGGTCGTTTTAAAATTAAAAATATAACCTATAAGAACAAATTTAATTTTTTTATTATATATTTAATGTGATTGTTTAATTTATTTTAATAATTTTAAATTAAACAAAAAAAAGAGAGAGGACACAAAAATATGTATTATTCATAATCATTAATTACATATATATGATAATCATATTAGGTAATTTCGTATTTTTTATTTAAGGAAATAAAAATATATTGTTTTATACCTAGCAGAGTTGGTTCCTTACAAAATGTTTATATATTATAGTCCTAAATGCAAAAAATTTAATGTTACATTATTTCATTCCTAGCAAAGTTGGTCCATTAAAAAATTAAGGCTGAGAAGCTCTGTGAGCTTGACACGTAAGCATGCTCTCCAAGGTTGTGCATTTATGAATGCTTCAGGATTAATATATAAGGGATATAGCCTCCCCTGAAATAAAATGGAAATGATCCAGACTGTGGGACAACGACACACAAATTACCCCAAAAGCCTAAAGAGAAACAAACATCTTATCAAAACATATATTCATGAACAAACATGTTTCTTGCAAGTAGTCCGAATGAATTTGTCAACTAGCCTGAAATGTACCATTGTTTACTTTTTTTAGGTTGAAAGTGTAAAATATTAAAATTAGAATAAACCTTCTTGTTCAGTGGTTCGTCAGTACCTAAATTGAACAATGGAATAAAGGAACTTTCTGTTTTGTTTGTGTATTGGCAATTCTGATTAAGGTTTCAAAAAATTAACTGGTCTTTATAGTCTGGAATTAGAAGAATGAAACAGTGGACCTTACTTTATAGTTTGTTTGTCTCTTCGTGTAGTTCTAAGATAAGATGATTTATGAACACTTTAGAAGACTATGCATTGACTGCCTACTGAAATCTATGTTCCGAGTTTATTCTCAAGCTTTCTTCTTCACCTTAACGTAACATGTGTTTGATTATATATAATTGTGTCATCTCCTTAGATGAATAATGGTTATTTGTCTCAGTCAAATTCTGCAGAGATTAATAATGATTATGAACACTTTAGAAGTCTGTGTATTGAAATTATTAAAAAAACATATCACTGAGTTACATATAGATTTGAAGATTTTAGAACCCGTAATACTAAGTCCATGAATTTTTTTGTTGCAGAGGTTTTCATGGAAGAAACAGTAAAGGTTAGAGTAACGCAAGAGAAGCAGTTGCTATATGTATACACGCAACTTGTAGAAAAACAGAGTTATAAGCATAATCATTTAACTAATCAAAATATATTATTTACTTACCAGTGGCACATATTGTAATTTTCCTAGTAAAAGTTGGTCTATTAAAAACAGAATCTGAAGAAACATGTGGTGATGACACTTCAGCCAAAATGGCAAACCTGTAAATAAAATACTAAACAAAGGTTAGTTTTTAAAACTGCTTCTCTATTAATATAATAGGGATATAGAGAAATACATACACAGCTCTTCAAAAGTGGGACTTGAATGCAAAAACAAGATGACTACACATTTGATTAATCATATGAAGCAGCTGAGACGTGGTTTGAATATCTGATCAATGAGGGTTGCTATGTGGAGTATAACGAGAAGGGTTAAGAAGAGGTTGACGTGCCTTCACCACAATGCTCATGTTTAGTCTAAAATTTTCCTCATATTGCACGCACAGTGCAGCCACTGCAGCTAGCTGATCATCATCATATGGCATCTGGTTTATCAAAAGCAAACCAGAATCAGAAGCAGAGAAGACTGCACTAAACATTACCCATGTCACTAGACTTTGTTGTCTACGAGGTAAGGTATGATCGACTGGTTTACGACCTGTAAGGAGCTCCAGCAGAACAACGGCAAAACTGTACACATAACCCAACAATGTTGAAGCTCTAGATTTAACTGTAAGAAGGGAGGCAAGTATAAAACATTGTTTGAGCAAGACAAACCAAGATGATTTGCTCGAATGAAACAAACTGAAAAAGGGCATTACTCAGGAGCGTGATAGCCAAAGGTTCCTAGGACACGAGTTGAGTGAAGTCGAGCAGCCATGTCAGGCGCTTATTTAGAGAGGTCCAAATCACCAATCTTGACAACATCATCATCAAAGAGAAGCACGTTGCTGAATTTGATGTCTCGGTGGATAACCTGAGGGTTCACCTTCTCGTGCAAGTACTCAAGTCCCCTGGCTTCACCAACAGCAATTTTGACTCTCTGTTGCCACGTCATAACATGACCTCACAGTGCTCCTTTCACACCTTTTCGCCCTGCACCAAAGAGATACCAATATTAGCTTCAAGATGTTCAAGTCTCTAGTGACTAATCTATATAAAGGTGAATCACTAACCATGAAGAACATCATGAAGAGATCCGTTAGGAGCATACTCATAAGCAAGAATACGGAGAGGGCCATCATCACAATAACCGGCAAGTGCAATAACATTTTCGTATCGCAATCTTGAAACCACTGATATCTGTTTTATCAAATAAAAATATATTCTTCATTGACAAAACTAAACAGAACATAAGAATTTTTTCAACTTCATCAACAAAACTAAACTAAACAGAACATAAGAATTTCTTCTACTTCATTAACAAAAAAAATCTTTGATTTGTAGTGTGTACCTGGGATAAAAATTCTTGGTCATGCTGCTTACTAGAGTCAAGTTTATGAAGTTAGATAAAACCAATTAGGGATATCTACATATAGTTTTCAGATGACGTATAGATTATTATAAAAAAAAAAGTATATAGTTTTCAGATGACGTATAGGGATATCTACATATAGTTTTCAGATGACGTATAGATTATTATGATACTTCATTTTTTTCTTAATTTTAAGGACAAATAATATTCAAAATGTGTAAGCTTATACACATTTATGTTATATATAAGTACTTCAAAAATATCTAATATTACCGATATTAAGTATAACATCCGTTTATTTTACGTTTGTAAGGTTATTAGATGGTTTTGATATTTATTTTAGATTAATGTATGTAGTACATAAGCTATAAAACATATATATCTTGTCCTATAATGATTTGTTTGTCCTTTTATTATAGTTGTTTGAAGCTTCTAGTAAATGTCTATATATGTTTACTATTTACTAATTTCAAACCGTTGGGAAATAGAAAACTCTATTTTTACTATGATTTATATGTGTTTCCAAATTAAAATATCAATTTCTTAAAATCCGAGTTAAGAAAATTTATTAAATTGGATTAAACCTATACATAGAAAGAGATAACGTATAGGTTCAAAGCTAAGAATATGTTAATGGATTTTTAAATCTAGATTTCTCAAATAACATTACAAAGACGTATCTAAAAAGGAATCTTATAAGGGTATTGGTTAAATGAATTAAACATGAATACGACGCATCAATTTATAAGGCCATCCAATGGATTGACATGTTAATATCTCCTTTTGCCATTGTTTACTCTACAGTAAGAAATGCACTAAGCAAATAATTCTTTTTTTTTATCAAACCGTTTCTTTCTAATACTGTAAAATCTAAAAGACAGGGCTCTCAATCCTTGAAGAATTGTTTGAAAACATAAACAGAGCATTCTTAGCAAGCATATCAGCTTGAATACTAGTTAAGGGGAATAAAACGATAAAAGATAGATGAAAGGGATCGAGTCAACACGCCTAAGTCATGGAGGATTCCTTTAGCTCAATTATAGACTTGTTTCATGTAAGAATATGGATTAGATTTTGAGAGTCTGAAAAACAGACTGTATCTTTGATTCCAGATGAGACAGCCATGGTGAGATATGCTAACGCCATCGCTTCTGCAATCAAAACAGATGCAACAACACTCAGCGAAGAGGTCCCTTTGAAAAGAGTCATTCTCGCCGGGTCTGTAGCCACCCAGCCTAAACCGCCTGCCCCATTCCAAGTTGCATTCGAGTAGATGCTGATGGCGTTAGCAAGTTATTGAGGAGTTGTGTTCAACTTTTTGAAGTATTTAGATGCTTGCCATTCTTTTGTGGCTTTGATAGCTTTAAACATCATGTCTGCTTCCGAGATATACTTGTCCTCGAACATCAATTGGTTCCTACTCTTCCACAAAACCCAGAAGATCCATGGGAATAAGGAAGTAACCAAACCTGAGAGAGCTAAATTCACTAATTCAGTTTGCAATATATTATAAGAACAAAGAGCTAATCCAATTTGAAAAATTTTCTTAATTCGAAATTTAAGAAACTTATTGGTATTTTGATTTTGAAACACATATGGATCATAATAATAAATATTTTTTTCCTAAATATTTGAAACCACCATATTCAATATTCAAGTATTTCATGTGCAAATTAATTCCCGAATTAACTGTTGACAGCACAAAGTTAGATTTGAAATATTCAACCACTAAAAATTAGACGGAAATCGTTAGTTTCGGTTTATATTTTAATAATTGACTATATTGAACTCAATTTTACGCAGTCAAAAAATTATTCGAGAATAATTTTACGGAAACAATACTTAGATATTAAATCTGTCAATTTCAAATATTTGGAGGATAAAATACTCATTTTCCTATCTTTTTTGAACAAACAAACATTGCATTTCTTATAAGAATTCTACACTCCAACGATATAGTTCATTACAGACATAGCGAGAGCTGATTTCGCCACAACATCAGCTTCCACATTGAATTTTGAGAGATACAACCAAAAGAAATTACATCAAAGAAAGAGTTAAAATGATAGATTGATACTCCCCCTTTTTCAACAACTTGATCAGGGATAAAGAATCAGATGGCAGGGATTGGACGTTTGAATAAACGGGGAGAAATACCGCACGCTGACCAACTAAAGATTCTGCCATTAAAGCTGATGAAACATGGCTGCAAGCTTCCGAGAAGTCAGGGAGTGACACCGTCGTTTGACCAGAGAAGATTCCACAAATACCACTGACAAGCGGAGAGAAGCCAGAACAAGATTTTCCAAACTCTCAAAAGAATTTATCTAGTTGAAGTAATCATGTACCCACCTTTGGGGCATATTAATTTTGAGAAAAGAAATTATATCCCCTCAACCCCTACAAAAAGGTTGAGAAGGTATTTTTTCCAAAAACAGTCTACCGATTTCATCGATTTCATTGAACTGGTCACACCATACGCTGTTCAGGTTTCACCTCGCAAATTAAAACTAAGACATATTTTAGTGTGTTTTGAGTATCCATATATATGATGTGCATGGAGAAAGAAAAAGCAAATTCTCATAGATAGATAAGAAAAAAACAAAGAAAAAATTATATATAACATGTTGGATAATGCTTTGAATGTGTTGGGCCTAGTAGCTGAGGCCTATTAGTGCTAGGGTTTCTAGGACACAAAAACCAATATATATATCTTGTGTCTCCTCTAAACCTAGTTAGTTGCCATCATAGAAAAAAAATCAGATCTGTTTTTCTTGTAGATAGATCTCTGTAATTCTTCCACCAATAAAGTACTCTATTTTTCCATAGAAGTAGCCAGTTGGTGAACCACATTAAATCTCTACATATTTCTTTTCTGTTCATCTATTCTATTAATTTGTTTTTTCTCAAATCTGTCACAACATAACAGCAACAAATTTTTCAATTTCTTAAATCATGAACCGTGTTATTTCAGTTTTTGTTTTATGCGTTCTCATGTTTCACGTTTCTAACATTGTGAAAGGTAATATATTTTTTTCATTTGATTCTGTATACACAAGATGTAGAGATACATATATTCCTATGAACAAAGTTTGCGTTCAACAAAAATGAGCAAAATGTAATAGATACATCGCATCAATCATTCATTATCTAGTATTAACTATTATTTTGTTTCTCTTCTTTTTATTGATCGATGGAAAATTATAGAAGTGAATAGCCAGTGTAGATGGGGTCAAAGGTTTCCTGGGAAATGTGGCGCTGATAAAAACAAAACGTGCCAGGTTGATAAGGAGGTCAGATATGTGAGTTGCAACTGTGCAGACATCTTTTATCAAAAGAAAGACCAGCATGACTGCTCTTGTACTATTTTGGAACCTTGTGGTGATGATTACTAAAGACAACAAGGCTGATATTGCTACAAAAACTTCCTTGTCGATCAGCAATACATTATTAAGTCTTACAAAACAAAAAAGAAATTATTATTATAAAAAAAATAAGAGATGAGTGAGAAGAGTTTTTATGTTAAAATTTGTTATTTTTGCCCAATATCACATCCAATCCAGAAAAAGTAAAAGATAAAACAGAATTTGTTATAAAAGAATCAATATAAAATAATTATATATCACTAAAAATTCAAAAAATGCATACTTTTATAGAATTAAATAATTAAATTATTAATTTTACAAATATTATAGAACTTGTATTGATATAGCCCCTTTTCAGAAAAAAACTTTTATTTAGATATAAATTTATATATTATTTTTAAATACATGTATATATATCCCTTATATACTAAAGCACAAGTCACCTCACCAATCAAATTTTGTCACATAATTAATGTTTTATTTTAAAAAAAAAACAATTACTAAAGAAAAACAATTAAAAATATGAAAAGTTTAAAAGAGTTTCCGTCTTCTCCACTTTAAACGAAAAAAAAAAAAAGCAAAATAGTTGTTTTAACTGCCTCTAACAGGCCATGATCTCCACTCCCTACGTTAAAATCAACTTTAGATGAACGTATTAGCTAACAAACTCCAACAATAAAAGAATATCTTCATTAAGCTTAAAGTGTGTACAAGAGAGAGTATTTATACTCATACATTAAGTATTCTACACTAAACTCTATACTATACAAGTATACCGTATACAAACTATATACATGAACATTATACTATGTAATAGTCCCTCTCAAGATGGCGTTAGAATGTTGAGAAAACCCATCTTAGACATGAACTTGTGAAACACGGCAGGATAGAAAGCTTTAGTGAACGGGTCTGCCAATTGATGTTGAGTACGAACATGAAGAGTTTTCAGTTGACCACACTCTAGCTTCTCACGAATAGAATGGCAATCCCGTTCTATGTGTTTCGTTCTCTCGTGAAATACGGGGTTCTTGGCTATGTGTAGAGCTGCAGTGCTGTCACAGTAAAGTACAGGAACAGAAGAAGGAGAAACCTGTAAATCATTGACTGACTGAGAAAGCCACACAAGCTCCTTAGATGTATAAGCCATGGCCCTGTACTCTGCCTCTTCAGAATAATGAGAAACCACATCTTGTTTCTTGGATTTCCAGGACACCAATGAGTTACCAACAAAGATACAAAACCCGGAGATAGATCTTTTTGTATCAGGACACTGGGACCAATCAGAATCACAGAAAGCTTTGATTTGAAAGTCATCATCAGTAGGATAGAAGAGACCTTGACCAATTCTTCCTTTGAGATAATGCAGTATTTTTTTCTGCAGCTTTCAAATGAGGAACACGAGGATCAGATGAATACTGACACAACTTACGGACTGCAAAACAGATCTCCGGTCTCGTGATAGTGAGGTAAAGAAGTCGACCAATACGTCTATATGTTTCAGGATTTAGAATAGGAACACCATCATCAGCCGCAAGTTTGACACTTGGGTCCATAAGACAGAGGAAGGTTTGAAGTCTAGAAGACCCGCATCAGTAAGAAGTTCCAGTATGTACTTATGTTGACACATAGAGATGCCAGATTTAGAACGAGCTATCTCTATTCCAAGAAAGAAACGAGGCTGACCGAGATCCCGAAGCTTGAAACAGCTTTCTAACTGACGTATGAAGGAAGATATAGCCTCTTCATGATCACTAGCTATTAGTATATCGTCAACATACACTAGGACCATGAGAACCCATTGAGCAGAATGTGA